TTGGAATCGATTTATTTCACAGCGAGTACATATCTATGCAAGCATAAAATATGACGAAATTGCATGAAAACTGTCTGTAGTTTACGCGAGTAGTACACATTTAAACAAAACAGTTTAACGGCTGCTGCAAAGCATCCGAAACTTCGGGTCGAGGTTAAAATAAATTCAAAAAGGTTTGTCTAATATATATCGCGTTTTAAACTGTTAAAGTGTGTCATTTAAAGTTGCACAAAGTCAAAGTTTGCTCTTGTTACCGATAGATGTCACTACAAAGATTAGCGATCTGTTTTTGTCTGTTAACGCGGGAAACTGTTTTACCGCCATAAACCATGGTTCTGAATAAAACAAAAGCCATAATATAATATGTATTACATATTATTTTGCTTGAAGAAATATATATATAACGCTATTAAACAAAATATTAACTTAGAAAATATTGGTATTCACAGTGTTGTAATGAATGCGTGAACATTGCGTAGGCGTGTACCCGCCATCTACAATTCCCGTATAAAACCATCGCCAAAAACATCACTACATCAACATCAATATTTTATTAGGGCATATAAAACAGGCTACAACGAACAATTCCCTTAAATATTCCTTTAACAATCACAGTTAATGATAGCAATTCTTTTAACCGGTACTCACCTAAGTGATGCAAACGAGCATATATACAGCGTAAAGGCGCTTTAAATTTATATAAGTATCAGAATAACATTTAATTTTGTATTTTTTTTGTAACATGCTTAAAGTTATTTATTTTCTATACCTGTTCGTTATATTTTTAAGACGAAGAGGAGCATCGGGATCACTGAATGAAGGATAAAACGCCTCAAATACATAACATACTAGCTGATCTAGCAATTGTTTTGTGCCATATTAATTATTTCGACAAAAATTATTGTCAAAATGGTTCATATGAGTTAATCTTAGAAGTTTTCAAAAATTTCCGCAGCGCAGCGGTGGAAACCAGTTTTTTCTACAATTCGCTCTCGTTCTTCGCTCTTATTGGCCAGTCTGATATTTTATAACCTAAAGCCGACTGGCTGATGTTAAAGAAACCGATATTGATGTAAATGTAAAATTCTGAACTGCTTTATCCTTTACACATATGTTAATAGATGGGAAGGTCATCCTATTCTCCATTAAATAAACGCCATAAGAACTAAGTCAGTCAAAGCAGTATAGAGTATAAAGCAATTCTTTAAGTGAGTACCCATTTTAATGTATTAGACATACGCGTTACACAACCATGAGACTAGTCCATAGACATAATGGATGGTAAGTATTTATTTAAAAACATCGATGAACCTAAAAAGTTCTGCAATAGAAAATTAAAAAATGCAAAAAGCATTCTATGTTTTGCATGAAATTAAAAATATTTCGCGTTTAAAACTGTTATAAGTACTAAAAAACACTTTCAAATCATTAGATATGTTAGTTAGATATTTGTAAAATATTTTGTTTAATGTTTTTATCTGTTATTCGGCTACACCTATACTGAATCAACTATGCCTATGGAAAAATACATTAAGAAGAATTTCCACCATTATCAATATTTATTAGTCAACCATTAATAATCGAAATATCAATCTTCACGACCTCTACTCAGACTGAACCTGCGATGAAACTTAAAGGGTTTTTTCCTCTCCTTCTCTTCAGGTTTTCCATCGACGAGGTTGTCTGCACTCTTCGCTACTTGGACGCTTTTCCGTCGGTTTTTCATCGACTTGACTAATCTATAGAATTTCCCCTTCTTCTTGGTGGGGTCTAGGGTTAGGTCGGAGAGTTCTTCTACTTCTACGCTGAACTCTGATGATATGTCTCCTAAGTCTTCGACGCTTTGGCTTTCCACTTCCTTGACGTGCACCTGTGGCACTGAGAGCTTTTTGGATGTGTTGGGTTTTGGTTCGGCTGGCGGCGGCGGAGTTGGTGCGTCCGGATCTATGCACTGGAAATTTAAATTAAATTTATCACCTAAATCCAAAAAAAATAATGTCTTAATTTATCGAAATTTATCTAAATCCTGAATTCGAAATTCTGGTTAAACATTTTGTACTACTAACCTAACACAGGTCTGTTTTTGATCTATCTATCGTGAGATTAAATATGTATCTATTGTTTGCTAATATATGTTTCTTTTCTAATCTTAAATTGCGTAAAATTGTTCAATTGGATTGTGCTGAAAATTTGTTTCTCAATAATATTCCTGCATGTGATTTACTTCTTCTGTGAATACAAAATGTAATTTAAGTGTAGCCAAACGTACGAGGAAACCTACTGTGTTATAAGAGAATAATTTAAAACTTTTCTGGCATTTTCCTTGTTCCCTAATAGAACACGATAGAATTTTCTGACAACTTTGTTGGCACGTGTATGATAGATATTGAAAGCGAATCGTTCCTTATATTTTATATGAGACACATTTTACTTTATATAACATTATATATACAGTGTGTTTTATTTTGTGATGAGACATTTTTTTTTGTTGCAATGAAAATATAATTATCATCTAATAGGCAATTACTTAATCCATGAAGTCTCCGCCATTTATCTCGTTACCAACAAAGGGTTTCGCGCCAAAACGAGTGTTTTAAAGAATTCTCAGGAGTTCGCACAAAGATCGCAAAGGATCAAAGTTCGACAACTCAAAGAGAGCCCTTAAAAACTTTCCGATAAATAGCGAAACTTCCCTTCACTGGAATGTCGTTAAGGGTAAATGAAGCGTGGAAAAAATTAATGGATTCCATTCGGAAAGTCACAAGTACAAATGAGATCACCGAGCCGGCTTAGCAACTCGGCGGTCCTTTCAAATTGTTATACTCAGCGGAGTTCTGTTAATTCTCAAAGCTTACTTACTTACTTATTGGTCCGTTTCTGAGAAGCGATTTCAGATACTTCGTCGACTTGAAATAGCTTTGTTTTCGAACGTTTATTTTACATTATCAGAAAGAGATCTTAACTAAAATTTGCCCTTTGTTTTGTCTAAGTGTCGAATATAACCGAGTAATATTAACATAACAAAATTAAAGTAAACAAGAATTCCTTTCTCTTAGGGAAAATATATTTATATATTTCAAAGTTTGGTACAGAAAACATGCAGATAATTCTAATTACAACTACCAAGTGACCGGGCGGCCTTATCGCTATAAGTGATCTGTTTCAGACAACCCACTAAAATGAAACCTAATGAACCTTAAAAACAAGTAAAACAAACATACAAATTTTTTTAAGATTTTTTTAGATAATTCTGTGTTAAAACACGTTGAATCTATACTTTACTTTTTAAATTCATTCAAATGGCTTGAACGAAATACGCAAACAAACAAACAGACTGAAATAATAGGGTTGGCCATAATTTTTTCGTGTATACTAATTGTTAAATTTAGTCGATTTTTGTTCAAAAACTGTTTCAGTGATCTATATAAATCTACTTGAAAGATTACTTTACGTATGGTGTAACTAGTGGTTGTTGTCTTAATCATCTAGAAGTCAGACGTTCTTGGGTCTGTCCGAGTCTGACACTTACATCTTCAAGTTTGATGCGGTAGGAGGGAACTTGTTCCGGATGTCTCCAGGGCTTATGATATGGATGGTCCGTTAGAGCCTTCCAGCCAGGGTATCGTCTTGCAGCTGCTTGTAACTGATGCACCAGTCTTGGAGCAAATTGTGCTGTTACCCTGTAAAAGGTAACTTACTACGTCAGGGCTTATATTTTTTGTGTAATTCTTGGTAAAAAGATTTACGTCTTTTTGTACGTTTCATTATAGCTCCGTTATTCTAAATTTTAACTATACCTACCTATATACTCCCTTTTACCACATTTTTATTATTTTCTTTACAATCATTCTTATTCATGTTAAACTTCTGCTCACTATGAGGCAATAAACATTGATATATATATATGATTTGCTTTTTCTTTTCTTGTTGTAGTTTGGGTATTTTATTAAATAGCTTTGTAGGGCTTAAGAGATCTAAATAGTCTGTACTTTATGGTGATATATCCCAAACTATAACATCTAAACAGGGTGTGCTATCGACCTATTTTATATTTTAGCTATATATATTCAGAAAGAAGTACTTCTAGTTTTTTATTTATTCGCGTGCAATATTTTTACATAATGAAACACAGTGTTTTCGTTTTATGAAAGTGTTTATATCGCCAGTATACCGTTGCTTGAAGGCATCTGTTAAACCAAATGATTGATGGCTTAATATTAGGGTAACACAGGTGTTTATCCAATAAATTTTTGCAACACCGTGTATAATATTTAAATCTTTATATTGTGTTATACAATTGTTCATTCCTTATGTGTCATTTGTTTTATGTTAAAAATAGATACAATTTATTTTCTTTTCATAAAAAAGGCACAAAATAATTTTAAATACTGGGACATAAGTAGAACCTAAATACACGACACAGAGTACAGTGGTTATCGACTTGTTATTTTAATTCTTGCCTGGAAAATACCGTTTCCACTTTTCACAACTTGGACACTAATCTTGTAATCAACAAGGTTAGTAGCCAAATTATCACTCTAAAAAGTTTTAGTCGTTCAGATGGCGTTATTAATGGTATTAATGGAATAAAATGTATGCTAATAATTAAAGTTGAAAGGTCCAAATTTTTCTAAATTCACATTTTTTCTGAAGCAGGTTGGACTTCGTCTGGAAATTTGGATATTAAATGAATACCACCCACTTAATATCAAAATTTCGTCCGGGTCCACCATCCACAGATGAAAAAGCCGCAAAGTTTAATCGCGTTTCGATTTCAGTCTGAGGATTTCCGAATATCCAAAGCCAAAATAGGTCGGCAACGCACCATGTTTAGATGTTATAGTTTGGGATATTTCGCCTAATATCAAGTGGTGGGGTTCAATCACGCTTGTCTGTCCCCCTCTATCATGTAAAATGTAATTACTTCGGCGTGGCTTTCAGGATCCGCGTCGTAACTAACGTAACAAAGTTCGTTCGGTACTTAAAGGTTAACGAAAAACTCACCTGTTTACAAGCCAAGCGGGCAGAGCGCCACGCGGGTCAGAACGCGACACATAACCGAGCCAGCTGCCCTGACCGTCAGGTCTGTTCCGAACCACGAAACCAGTCAGCAACGACAGTGCCCTGGAAAATAAAAAAAATTGCTTCAATAGAGAAATGATTCTTTCACATCTAAATTTTTTGGGTGTCTTCAACCGTTTTCAATAACAGTTCTCCCTAAAACCAAGTTCAAATCACACCAGTAGTTCTTGAGATTAGCGCGTTCAAACAAACGTTTAAGATTTGTAATATTTTTTCTAAATACATAACCTTTTATTTATCTTTTTCGTTGAGTTCGTTCGTTGATTAAAAAGGAGGACTGCGTTTTTATAAGGTCGTTTACATATTTTGCATAAATTGAAAAGTTTCGCTAACCCTAGATAGCGTAGTTTCGTTAAAACTTTTTTAATAAAAAGTTAAGGCTGCGTCAGGCTAAATTAATATTTAAGGCCGCCTCTTATCCCGGGCTACGTAAACTGTCAAAATGTTCCTCCGCAATGTTTGAAAACTTCTAAATACTGAACTTTTTTAGAGCTTAATGTAATTTAAATTTTCAGAGGCTCCTTAGTCTAATTGTAGCGATGTATGACTAGTAATCAAGCGGGTCCAACATGATTTTAATAAATTTATAACCCTTCTGAAAAATGGTGGACTTCGTATGGAATGGGTGGTTAGAATATTGTTATTCCGTCCGGATCACAAACCACCGTACAGAGATGGAAAATCAGTAAAATTAAATCGTATTTCGGCTTCAGTCCGTGGGTTTCCACATATTCAAAGCAAATTAGGTCGCATCTTATTGAGATGTAACCGATTTTGTTTATAAATTTAATTGTTAACAAAAATATGGCTAGGGTATTTTATCTTTCACCAAGTGAACCACACACTTGTCTGTTCTACTGTGCCATAAATAAATATAATCTAACAAGTTGAGACTTATATACTAACTTTTTTGTTATGTATAGTATACGATTAAGTAATAATACTAATAAAAAAAACATAATTAATTTTGACATAAATCAAAGATTATCAACTTAACATTATCTGTCAATTAACATGATAACAATCCAAGTAAGAATTATCTCGGATGATAAACAAATGCCCCGGCATCTCTATACAATTGTTTTTCCAATGTCATGAACTCTAGTGCGTTTCTCCACTGTATGTTTTTACAGATTGGTGTCGTGACGTTCAGAAATTACACAGGGAAACCGTTTCGCCTAGTAATTTCCGAACTTTTTAAAAGAAGACAGATACGCCCGCAAATAGCTTTCAAGTCTGTATATGTATAATATGTTTTAACCTTGTAATTAAAACACAAAACATATAAAAAATTTTTAATTTAAGTAAATTTAAAGTTAACTGTTAACATATTTTCAAAATAATCTAACTTAAATCTGACGTTTCTTTTTGCAACTACGCACTGCAGTTTTGAACAACCCGTATTGAGTCCCCCTACAGGGCGGCTTTTTCACATTAAAAACCGTTAGAAGTGTTTATTTCAATATATACCACTCGCGTAAACTACAGACAAAACTTAAGTTTGTGTTTAAAAAAAAGACAATTATTTTTGGTAAATAACACTGATTGTGTGTTGTATAAATATCAGCTTAATTGTTGACATGACAGCTGAAAATTTGATATACATGCATGTAGAAATATAAACCGTAATTTGGTTTATAAAAACAGAATACATTAAAATTCTTAATTACCATGCATTTCATTCGCCAAGTTATTCCCGTCTCGTAACCGGTGCGACATTGGAAAAGCGCACACGAATGCTCGTCTATCAAGGCCGTCGCGGATTGACGCATACCCTATCTTATCTAGAGTGTCGAATAGTAATGAGATGCCATCGGTTCGCGTCCGTCACGCTCATTTGGGCGTATCATCCGATGGCGTTGAAAATTGGCCAAGTCCGGCTACCACAACCAAACTAATATACAACCAATAGTTCCATTTGGCGGTTAAGTGGTATTCCTTCGTTATATATAGACAAGAATTTATTTTGATTCATATCATACTAGCTCTGTGATTCGTCCCCGTGGTAGTTCATTCTGAGCATCAACATTTATTTCGGCAAACTACCGCCTCAGCTTTTTTATAGCTTCTACCCAGACGTCATCTTTCCCGTCTTTCTTGTAACTCTATAAATTGTAAATATTAGAATTACAGAAAATATATTAAATTAAATGTATTGTGTGGAGGTCTTTGACTTCAATAGTATAAATAATATATAAAAAAGGAGGAAGTTTATTTTTTGAAACAAAAAGGCCGTATCTACTTGGCCGATTTGAAAAAAATCTTTCACTATTAGAAAGCTACACTATTTCCAGTGATAGGTTATAAGAAATTTTAAAAAAGTTGGGTTTACATACTAAAATTCCATTAATATAACCAGAGGATTAGTAGTATTTGTACTTTGGTATTAATCCTTATCAACGTATTTAAAAGTGTGTGTGTAAAACTTCTGAATTATTTGTTTATTACCGTGTAAAGCTGGGGCGAACTGCTAGTATTATAAAATACACAGTCACAATACACATACAAATACAATCACAAATGTAATGTTTTACAATAAAAAATAATACTGTCTATAGTTTACGCGAGTAGTGCACATTTAAATAAAACACTTTAACGGTTTAAAACGCGATATATTAGTTAAACTTATTTGAAAATGATTTTAAACTTATTTAATACTCATTTTCAAATAAGTTTATAATAATATATCGCGTTTTAAACCGTTAAAGTGTTTTATTTAAATAAAAAATAATTGCTAATACAACGTTTGGATACTGTACAATAACAAACCTGACATATCCCTTTCTAGGCGGAAAGTCCTTATGGTAGACGGAATGGTTGAGGATCATCTTCTCGTCCCCCGTGTCCAGCCACGACCGCTGGAGTACGAAGTCGCGGTTCTTGAGTGGCGCCGGACATGACACTATAAAAAATACTCAATAAATACATACGACCAATAAAAAGAAACGGTCTTTCTAAGAGTTTTGTTTATTATTTATATTATAAAGTTTTAAACAATTTATAATTTTTCTTTGGACGGGATAGACATGTCGTAATGTCGTCCGAGGCGCAAACCGCGCAGTTCGTCCGCTGATAGAAAACGCTGTTATCTAGTTACCTGCGTTACGTGTCTCAATGTCTAGAGAATGTCTAGATTTTCAGGTTTGCAAACCAAAGGTTGAAAATAGGTTTGCAGGGCATCTTATTTAGATGTTACATGGCTGGGGTGATGTACCCCTTATGGAATGATGTTACCTTCCATCGAGTGAACTGCAAAATCATTTATCTATTTCTTTCCTTGTAAAACGAATAATCTAATATTAATAGACTCCAATTTTATTTACTGGTCATAAACAATCTTCTCTTCTCTTGTATCATCTCAAGTAAAAGTTAGCTAGACTATGAACAGTAAATAAACCGCATTGAGTCAATCGCAAGAGGAAAACAAACATTCAATTATCACTTGTATATTACAATAAACATCTAAATAGCGTCAGATTAAATGTATTATTCACGATATCTGTTGTTTTCTCACAGATTATATAACATCAAACTATGGTCACTACTGTCAGGCTAGTTCCCGTTTACAAAGTTAACATTTGCCACAAACATTATGAACATATTTGCATAACTATTATGTCTCGATTGCTTGCGCACAATTATTTCAAATGTTTATTTAACAATATAGTAATCAGCACCTTAATTAAACCACTAATGCATATCTTTTCAAGATAAAGTAAACATGCTTTACAGAAACGTTATGGCAGAGAATACTTCTTTTATATACGATATTGTCGTGAATGATTTGCACGATGTTATGAATTTAAAACTCTTTAAACGGTTTTAAATGCGACATATATTAGTAAAAACATTTTATATTTTTATTTTAATAACTTGATAATTAGCCATACATAAGTACCAATTAGACCAATAAAAGAATGATTCCTTGAAAAAAAGTCCGGGACGCTATATGTCTATCTTATAAGATAGACTATAGCTAATTTTGCAAGAACGACGTGGCGATACGTCATCGATGTCGTGGCTAACAGCTTAAGTTTATAAAGATGGCGGGGTTTGAAAAACTAATTTGGATAATTGGAATAAAGTCGCTGACACTATCTCGTTGTTAATATATACAATCGCAACAGATTCCAATAATACCCTGATATCACAATGAAACCTATTTTAATATTTAAAATTGAACAGTTGATTTGCTATGAAAAATTTTCACTTCAGGTAAATAGGTCAAACGTAGACCACAAAATTGGGATTGTAATTATCAAGGAACAATTTTTAAAATCGCTAACATAACAAAGTATTGTGTATAGTTTACGCGAGTAGCACACAACTAAAATGAAACAATTTTATAGGTTCAAAACGCGAAATACATTATCTAACTTCATTATTCATTTATTTTACAACCCCACGTTTCATAGCTTGTCAGGAGCCATGGTCACACGGGGATGGAGATGTCAAAGACAAGTCTACGCTAGCGCCATCTGTTTTGCCGTAAGTTGTTGACTGTAGTTAAAATACATTCTAATTAGTCTCGGGTTTTGATAGTGTAATGTACGGCTACTAATAGACGGATCGTGTGTGATCGTGTGTTCAACATTTTTAAAATAAATTTATATCCCATGTCTGTGCTTCTCTATCATTAAAAAAATATTATATTTAAACGCTTACATTACATTCTAATAAATATAGTCAAATCAGTTTACGAATCAGATTTTTATTATCAGAATAGAGATTAGCCAACCAAAGAGAATTAATATCAATTCTAACCAGGATTTGAAACCTAGACTATCTAATATATAAAATTCTCGTGTCACAGTTTTCGTTGCCATACTCCTCCGAAACTGCTAGACCGATTTTGATGATTTTTAGCGCTTATCCGGTATCTATGAGAATCGGCCAACATATATTTTTCATCCCCCCTAAAATGTTAGGGGTAATCCATCTCTAAATTTTATTTTTTATTTTTTAGACAAAATTCTTAATTTCTATTTTTTTATGATACAACATACAAAAATCCTCAATTTTCACCCTTCTACGATCAACCCTTATTATATGGCAAAACAACGTTTGCCGGGTCAGCTAGTAATTAATAAAGTTGAGGAGATTGTTTTCAAAATGAATATGACGCCTAAAATAACTATTTTACGCGGGCGAAGTCGCGGGCACAGCTAGTATAATAAAAACTTTTTACGTATCCAGTGCTGGGATTCAATTGCTGGACTACATTGATAACAAGAAACAGGTTCCTAAACTTATTTGAGTGTGACGAAAACAGTGAGGCATCAAAGCCGACGATCAAAGACATGGTAATTAAAATTGGGATCTTCCATTAGCTGTGTAAATAGAAATATTAATATGGTATTTATATGTTTAAAAAACCTTTGATGTCGATCAGTCAACCCGAAAATCGGAACGCAGCCGAACGATCAGAGGATTGGTGGAAGAAGAAGGAAATATAACCTCATTTCAGAAAACCATCCATCCATTAAGTTCAACGTTATATAAGAATTCGATATTGACAACTAATCTTAATAAAACTAAGTATTTAAGAATATCGTATACGGGTTAACAACGAATGAATATTTCTCTTTCTGGAAGTCACACATACAATAAAGGGTGTGTTGTCGACCTATTTTCGCTGAGGTACAAATGGTAGAGGATGGTTCATAACTCAGACAGAGTTTCTATATTTTATACCCATATAATATGTACACATTTATTAAACGAAGTCTAATAAATTTTTGAAAAATTACAAATTTATTTAAAAACATGTTAGTCTTAGTGGAAATCAAACTCGTTAGAAGTTAATAACTAGCTATAGCGTGGTAGAAATTACCACGGATCACCAACCCTTCAATAAGATAAAAATATTGTCCATACAATTTAACCCCCGCAACCCCGCCCGGGGTCGCCCGCTTCCGCTTTTTTTTTCGTGCCCCCGCCCCTCCCCCCGCCCGCGCCCCCGCTTCCCCCCCCCCGCGGCCCCCATTTTTTTCCAATCCCTTCCAAACTTTAAAGTTTAAACTCTGCAAATTTGTAGTACACATTTAAATAAAACACTTTAACGGTTTAAAACACGTTTAGTATTAGTTAAACTTATTTGAAAATATTTTAACTACGGCGTAACGTTTCGGATGCTTTGAGAGCCAGACGCCATGACCACGGTGGACCACGTTGCCGAGTTAAAATTATTTTCAAATTATGTTTCGCGTTTTATACAGTTAAACTTTATTCTAAATGTGTGCTACTCGTGTAAACTACAGACAGTCTTTAATTTCATCTAGATAAAAAAAAAAAAAAAAAAAAAAAAAAAAAAAGAGAGAGAAGGAAAAAAAAAGGGGGGGGGGGGGGAGGAAACAAAAAGTTGAAAAAATCACGTGAGGGAGTCGAGTATTGGAAAAACCCCAAAAATTTTACCAAAAAAAAAAAAAGAACCCCCCCCCCCAAAAAAAAAAAAAAAAAAAAACCCCCCCAAAAAAAACCCCCCCCCCCCCCCCCCCCGGCCCCCCCCCCCCCCGCCCCCCCCTCCCTTTTTTGGGGCCCCCCCCCCCTAACCCACAGGCGCTTCACCATTAAATCCAATTCTAGCTAACGTAGCAGCTGACACACTTATGTAAGGTGAGAAAGAAGTTGGTTAATAATCAATAACGTTTACAATTTCGAAGTAGTTCGACGGTAGATTTTTGGCACACCGCAGCGTAGGCATTTTACGTCCGCTGTGTGCTCTGGAGTGGAATTATTGGCACTCGCACTGAATGAAACGGGCCTTTGTTTCGAGTCGCTCTTCCGTGATCCTGGTAAAAATATTGCCGTACAATTCCCAACGTCATACAATTCGTTAAACATTTTCAAAAGCGGACAACATATTGGGTTATGGCTATCACAGCTGTGACGATTTTATTAATTTGAAAAAGGAAATACATTGATGATAAAAAAGAATCTAGCATTAAAAAAATATTAATAGATTTAACAGACATCTGCTTTCTTTAACATACATTTAAAGACGATATAGTTTTTTTTTAACTATATAAGGGATATAGGTTTCTAACACCTTTATAATGCATTCTTTTCAAATAAAAAACTTAACGGATTTCCCGTTATTTATTTAACTACGAACCAACGTTTCCTAATAGATTGTAGATTAGTTAACTAATATATTTCGCTTTATAAACCGTTAAAAGTGTTTTATTTAAAAGGAAATAATTTTGTACTACTCGTGTAAAGTACAATATTTAATAAGAATTCCTATTAATGTTGAGGTTAAACCATTTGATTTACATCCAACGCAAACATATTGTGCTATGAAAATACGTATTTCATACAGAATGTAGAAAACGCAGCATCCTCAAACAGGGCCGGACTCATAGAAAAATAAATATTTAATTTAGAACCAAATTAGTGTATTTTATATATCGTAAAAACTATCTAATGAATTTTATATCATATTGTATTACAATTAAAGCGCACTTACAGGTTTTAAATATTTGAAGCCCCTAAAAACGAAACCAATCTAATTTTGATCAGTACCCAGTAAGCAAATAACCGCATTATAAACAATAAAATAACATAATAGCTAGCTAACTTTATCTAAATAAAACGGTATCTAGCGCTGCGAAAATCAATATTAAACAATGAAAAAAAAACATAAAATGTTTTGACGGGGTCGTTGGTGTAATGGTAGCATTGTACAGCTAATAATTAACGAGTCCTGGGTTCGAACCCCATGGGTCACATTCTAACAATTTATTTTTTAAAAGTTTTAATAAATGAGTCAAGATGAAAAAGCTTGAAGTTAATCACGTTTCACTCTGAAGATTTACGAATACCCAAAGCCCAGATCGACAGCGCATCTTATTTAGATGTTATAGGCTAGAGTGTTTCACCTACCATCAAGTGCATGCATGTCTGTCCTCCTCTATCATAAAAAAGTTGTCTAATCCGGCCCTGGTAACCAGCATTCCTAACTCACGAGGCACGTCACGTTTTATGCCTGCAACGGATATATCCATGCCGGCGCGTACTCGATTCATTTACATTCATGCCTGCTCGGCGTCCGCATTGTTATCGATGTTCAAGATTTGTTCATAACTTCGTGACATACGAGCGTTCATCATTTTTCAAATGAAATTCTCTGATATTATCCATCCTTATTATTTCTTCAAGCAATCGAGAAACATCGCCTGATGACGCCGTCCGCTCGTGATGGCGAAACGTCGAGAACCTCTTCTCTCTCACGTCGGTCGAACAGGCCGAAAAACAATGATATGCTGAACGATGCCCGTGAAAGCCTTAAACAATTTACTACATTCTCAGAATGTATTTTTAATTAAATAACGTATTAATTATTGTTTGAGACTAAATACTAAGAGCCAATACATTTTTAGTATCCAAATTTCTAGTTGTTATACTTTAGCTTTATGTGTAAGTAACATTAACAACAATTTTGAACGAGAGAATTGAAGATGACAACACCGCACTTTTGAAGCACTACTGAAATATCCATAGCTCAATGGTTAAAAATACTGCATAGTAGTGCGTTAAGCATGGGATTCGAATCCAGGACGTTCGAATTGCAAATAAAATATGTTTGTCCTATGTGCCACAGGCCACGGAATTTCAGAAATATTAAAATTATTTAATAATTATGATGACACATTATGTTACTATATAAATTAAAAATCAATTATAGATTTTAAAAAATTCGACACGGGCAGGGCTGAACCATCATCCACAGCGACACACTTGGTTAGAGCAACATCACGGAACGTTGCGGATGCCGGTTCAATTCTTGCCCGTGTCGTAAATTTTTTTAAACCTGTAATCTATTGGAATGTATGTATTTACTGTGCGATTTTGTAATTTTTATATGCTTTAAAAAGCTGACGTAGTTCCCGAGATTAGCGTGTTTAAATAAACGAACATAAAAACTCAGCTTTGTAATATTCAGTTATAGGAATTTTCCAGCAGATGTGAAAAATTAATAAAATCGAATCGTCTATGATATTGCAGTTAACAAAGAGTACTTCATAGGTCGATCGCCTCTCTAGTGCCACCCCTGTCGAGATGAAGAACCTCTTTTGAAAGTTATACCATTAAAGAGAATTTCTTATAACTTACAACATAGTCTATTTAATATATCGATATGAAAATAAGCAATTTTAGAAGCAAAATTAAGTTTGCTTTGAGATCGGTTTTTTCATGTTCCGTAACTTCGCTGTTTTAATAAAACACTTTAAGCGGTTTAAAATGCAAAATATATTACTAAACTTTTAAATAAAACACTTTAACGGTTTAAAACGCGATATATTAGTTAAACTTATTTGGAAATTATTTTTAACTTCGGCCCGACGTTTCGGATGCTTTGCAGCAGCCGTGGTCATGGGGAGACGTGGTCTCCCCGTGGTTAAAGTTTTTTATTTAAATGTGTCCTACTCGCGTAAACTATAGACAGTATTTTATATTACTAAACTTATTTACCGAACTTGTTGGTCGATATTTCAATCAATTTATAATCTTTATGAAACACGTTGGACTTTTTCTAGAAATGTGAATATTGAATGGGTAATAGGAACTAGGAATATGATAAGGTTGGAAATTAAATGGCGTTTCCCATTCAGTTTGTGGATTTCCGAATATCCAAAGACATAATGGGTCAACAGCGCGTTTTGTTTATTTGATATATGGCTGGGGTATTTCTCCTAGTATCCTCTATCATACAATTTTATATTAATATTATTAAAACCAACGCTACGGAATACGTCAGTTATCAACTGCCTCTTGAAATTCCCCGGTTACTGAGAATACTAAGAAAATCGCCGATACCTATCTATGGAAATGTTCCCCATTGTTAATTGCACGTTCCAGTATACAGGTACCTACGTAAAGCAATTATATTATTTACGTGTATTGTGTCGTTAAATTACTTAGACAAAGTACTCGTGATTACTAGTATACATTTACTATTTCCTCAAAAATAAAATTTCAAATAGATAGATATGGCTATAAGTTGGTTTAGTTAAAACACGTTTTTAACTTTCTTGAAAAAGATTGCGTCTGGATGGCATTATCAGTTATATTAGTAAACAGATTTGTAAAGTTTAAGTAGTTCAAGTTTTAAGTAGTTATTTCGATGGCCCGACGTTTAAGAGGATTTGGATAATATGTTTTGCGTTTTAAACTGTTTTATTGAAATGTTTACTACGCGCAGGAAAAGCGAAAAAAATTACTTAAGTTTACTGTTGTTTAATGTAGTCTTATACTGACTTATAGCATACGATTTAAGAAAAAGAAAGGGGAAGAGGGAATTTTTACCTGTTGCAGTCGCACAAAGGTTTACAATATAGCGAAAAAATTATCGCAAATATAAATTCGCTTTGAACCTTCATGTCCACAAGCTAAATGAAAAAAAAAATTACGTTTTAAACCGTTTAAAGTGTTATAGTAAACTTACTTGCATAGTATCCAACGTCATTGTTAACGTTGATGTGGCCAGCGTCTTCCGCCGCCAGCATATGCGTGTCCCAAACTGATCTGTATTCTGGGTCGTGGAGGACGTCATACAACGCGTCTGGCTCGACATCCGCAAACTCTGCGACCACCTGTGGAAGAAGGAAAATATGGAGAGACAAAACTAGTCAATAAAAAAATATTGATATTAAGAAAATGTAAAATATTAAGAACTAGCGGCTAATAAATTAATAATAATACAAAAGAAAATATTCAAGTTCAAAACAGTTCTGAAAAGAACTTTTACAAACATTATGCAAAGTGTGATTCCTAATACTAAAACTAAGTAGCTTTAAAAAGAACTTTTTAAGTGAAGCATAAAAATGTTAAAAAAAAATCGAAATATTCAATGTCGTTTGCGCCCACTGCGTAAGGAGCCCACTGCCCCTCTATCGTCGAATTAGTTACTCGATACGCGGCGTGTCGGCTGCCGCCGGCATGTATTTTTATTTTAACTTATGATATCTTTTGAATGGCATGTCCGATTTCAATAATTATAAAAATAATCATCAGGTATTGAGACAGCCTTGAATATTAAATTATTTATTTGGATAAAAATTTATAAAATCAAAATCAGACCGTGTTATCCATAGATAACACGGTCTGATTTTGATCGGCATTTCTATCAATTTGTTAAATGTAAAAAAGTAGTTATAGCGACGTAACTACAATAGTTAGACATATGCTCTATATTCTATAATATTGTCGAACATTTTTTTGTCCTATCATTAATACTTTTCGCAGCGTATGCGAAGAAAGACATTTTACGGCTATTCTTTTTACGCCTTTCGTTGGTTTTTCTAAGAATTTCTATAGATGTCTATATTAATCAAGATCTAAATAAAGCCTATGTTACTCAGTGATAATGTAGCTTTCTAATGAAAGAAGAATTATTAAAATCGGTCCAGTACTTTTTGAGTATAAACTCAATTGTATTTGTGTATTATAATATTAGTATAGATTAAAAAAATCGAGGACATCGACGGGATGGAATGGGTTTGACCGATTATAAATAGTGTAGCTATGCTGTACGTTGACTTAATAAGAGGTGAAATACCCCAGCCACATTGCACCTAACTAATTACTAAGATAGGCTGTTGGCCTATTCTGAACATTTGAAAATCAACAGACTAAAATGAAACGCGACTATACGTGGTAACAGTGGTTCTTCAGCCGGACGGAATTTTGACATTCCTATTGTTGATGTAAAGAGAGAAAATTACTTTCAGAAATATATAAGATCCGTTGGAAATACACAAGACCTGAAGACAAGAACACAACCTGAAGATTTGAAACATACAAATTTGCAGGAACAAATTTGTACAGGATGGTCAAACGTGAATTAAAAATTATATTTATTTAGTGATTATTTTTTAGAAGTCGACTGTTTTATCATAGAGAATTTGGGAAATATTGTAGTACCCCAGTTTTACCCTTTAACGATATTTGTAACTTTTCAGTACACCGTATTTCAAAGTCCCATACAAAGAACGTGATTTACACGTAGCATGAATCATGTGTAATATTTAAAGTTTCGCGTCACGCCACACTTCGCGGAAATAGCGTTCAAAGTTTAAATTATGTCGACCACAGAGTAGTCTATTAATTCTAAACGTATAAGCAAAATTGGATTTTCCCCGGGCCGAAAGCGAAGGTTTTGATACAAATTTTGTTTCAATTTAAGTTAACATTGAATCGGTTATGCTAATAATTTAAAAACTATAGTGAAAAAAAGGACACGGATGGGACTCAAACTGACGGCCCTCCAAGTCATTTGCTGAAGTATTTATTATTGAGTTGAATTTTTTTTCGATGTTCGATTTTTAATCTATGTGAATATTAATAGTAATGGAGTTATAAAAATTGTAGACGAAATACCATAGGGTATACATAATAAATTGCGATAGTGTTACAAATAAATATGAACAAATTATGTAGCTGGACAGACAATATGGGATAGTATGGGGTTCTTTGATGAAAGTTGACATTTCCCAGTCAGCTAACATCTTAACTAGTCGTAGATGTTGTATACATACGGATTGAGTAAAAGCGTCAAAATCCCGTCGAATCCCCGAGGCAAAGACACGAACTCTACTAAATATTGTATGACATTTAACGCCCTCAAGTGTTTTCCTATCTCGGAAAATTTTTAGAGTACAGGAAAAATACGTCAATTTTACTGCGTTTGAGTGGAGGCAAGCCCTTTTTATGGCATGTATATTAAACAATTATAACAATCGATGTGAATCAATAAAATCTATTATATACAAAATAAGTCAGTGATAAAGTGTCTGTCATTTAAAATAAACTACTTAATATTATAGTTGAGTTATAGTTTCATGTAATGCGCTACGAAATGAGGGCGTGCAAACAAACTCGAATGATATTCAACAAGAATACTATCATAAACAATGGAATAAATAAAAAAATATTTTACCAGATATTATATTATATATGTTAAATAAAACAGTTTCAACGGCTTCTAACTCGAAAAATATAAGTTGTTGTTAACATTATTTTGTGTTGTTCAAAGTCTACTCAAGTAAACTTGTAAAATAAGTTGTCTAAAACGAAGTAACCTGTGATGTTGTAGTTTGGAGCTACGGCGTAGCAGCGTACAAGACAATTATCAAATGTGGCATAAGTGAAAGGTATTCTACAATATATCATAATTTATTAATTTACGATTAATTATTGTAATACTTTGTTATACTTTAGTAATAACTTTATAACTGAACTAGCTGTGTTAGCGACTTCGTCCGCGTAGAATAGTTATTTTGGGCATCCAAATTCGTTTTTGCAAACCTTCTCTTCGCCTTTTACCCACGACGTAGGTCGCGTTCTTGATAGTCAATATTAAAAGATACACATATAGTGTCGCGGACATTTTTTTAGATCATTTGAAGAGGAATCATTCTTTCGTACATATTTTTTGCAATTTACGGTACGGTTTTTACCACATTTCCTGCTGTTTCTTCGCTCCTATTAGTCGATGCTTGATGTTTTATAGCCTAAAGACGTCTTTAATAAATTTTTTTTTAAATTAAAACCAGTATTTCCTGAGATTAGCTCGTTCAAATATCAAACGCTTTAGATTTCATCATATTATTAAAGTATAGATTTATTAAAGGAAAATTAATTATTGTAATATTTTGTTACATTGTAGTAACTACTAATTAACGGGATATTCTTCTATACTTGTTTATACTACAATATTATTTTACATTCTTCAACTACTTGTTCAAAATGTATTCGTATGTAAAATATTTCATAATTGTCCTCTTTTATTCAACTTCATAACATTCTCATTGAAATTCGATCTGTCTAAGTAAAATAAGACAAAGAAAAGGCAAATGAAAAGTAAACCAGAACGATTGGTTTAACAAGAGCGGCGGTATATTATATTAACCGCCTCTTAACTGAACATAGCTTTTAAAGGAGTTTGCGAGGAACAAAGAGAACTGTTTATTTGTTAAAACGAAATTTGTGGAAGCTTAATAATCCTCTTATAAATATTGCGGTTGTGTATATATTTGAAGGAAATTTGGCTTTAGCGAGTATTTTATGATTGAAAACGACTTAGGATTGCCTGGTCGGTCCTGGGTTTGTGTATTTGAAATTGTGATAGCATAAAAATAAAATATTTCTACCGGTACAAAATCATCCAAACCTCTCATCATCGTTGCCATAGAAACTAGAAGATTTTTAACTACGTGTATAAACAATGTAGGTATGTAATTGAAGTTTGTGTTATAAATACATTGGATAAACACCATGCACTAAATTAACTTAAAAATAAACAAACAACACACATACATTTAACATGACCTAATATTTAATAAAACGAAGAAAAATTGACTATTTTTATCATACAACTCAAACAAGGCCAGAGAGAAATTGCTCAAATGTTCTTTGAAAAATATTTGTTAATGCTCTGTGGTGGTGATAAAATGTGGTTTCAATATAATCTTAATTAGTTAAAGCCATATTTCACAAAATAAGCCGCTCAAGCTGCCAGTCGATAAAACAGTCGAAAGTTATCCAAAAAATTACAATATCGCCTAATTTATTGGTCATAAATTTTGAGGATGAACAAAGTGAAACAGATGTCGGGTTCATCGGCACGAACTGAGCCAGTTAACTCCATAAAAGAGGCATCAATAGGCGTCTGCTGCTTGGCTTTTGGATAATCTCCAATTTTCCACTTTGAACTTTTACCCTAGTTCTTACAAAAGGTAATGTGAGTACGATCATTTGTATTCTAGTGTTGTGGCCGATGTAACGAAGCTTATAAGTTTCTCTAACACTTTTTCCGACCCATTTTATATATGATACTACAAAGACCGTATCTAAGATATACCATTAAATGTATTTGGAAGAGAATATAATAAAATAATATATATAAGGTGTTCATTTGAGAATCTATAGTGACAATAAATCTTTAAGCGTAAAGTAAAATCCCGTTTACCCGTGTGGCGTATGGACGACCACATTATTGTGTCCCTTGTCCCTTGTACTGATCGATTTTATTTGTAGACAAGTTGATAACTTCTGTGTCTCTGACGGAAACAATCTATTGTTTCCCCGGGATTCGAACCGAAGACTACTCGCGTTAAACGCAATGTAGCCAACCCGTTAATTTATTTTTAAGTATAATTTGTAAAACTTTGTAGTGGACATTGTTTAATAAATATCTTTCTTATTACTTAACTTAAGACGACACTTTAATATTTTAACTATTTAAGCTTTTTATAAAAAAATCATTAGGTAATTTTCAGTAGATTCCCATTTAATATTCAGTTTTCCAGAGGAAGTTTACCATGTTTCAGAAATTTATTAAATTGATTTGAAACATGTTGGATCCAATGGGGATCGCAACCACGAACCGTGGATTATTGGTTCCATTATAGCAACGAGCCCGACAAAGAAAATACTCAAAAGAAATGACTTATTTCTTTCTTGAAACCATAGCAACGAATGAAACAACCCTAGACCGGAGACCGGGCAAAATTGATTCAGCCTCCTTTAAAAAGCAATCTTCTGCCGCTCCCGAGGGACTCGTCCTCAAATAGTGACTATTAGATTATTGACT